GAGAATCCCTTTGCCATGGCTTATGGATCCGAAGCAGTGATTCCAACCGAAGCGGCGGTTCCAACCCTTCAGACATCCTTGTTGCTTGAAGGAAACAATAGTCAGCAGCTCGAACATAGTCTCGATCTCCTGGATGAAAAAAGGGATGCTGCAGCAATTAGGCTTGCTTCATATCAGCAGCAGCTGCGCAACAATTATAACAAACGTGTCAGATTCTGGAGCTTTGCGGTAAGCGATTGGGTTCTGAAGCAAGAGACAACTCATGTAAAGAAACTGGAACCTAATTGGACCGGACCCTACAGGATTACCGAAGTAGTGGGGAAAGGAGCATATCGTTTGGCCGAAGCTGATGGACATCCCATTGCGCGTCCTTGGAATGTAATACATCTTAAAAGGTATTTCCATTAGATAAGTTTGTCAATTTTATTAAGAATTCTTCACAAATAAGGCTACGTAAGCCCACAGTCAGCCAAGCTTTTCTTTATTTTACTTCTATTTGTTTCTTTCCATAAAAATGGGGGCCATACCACCATTCTATGATTATGCAATTTTGCGTCGCATTATGCATTAGCAATTTTTATGCAAAGAAATTTTCATACTACATTATGATTATGCAATTTTATGCTTTTATGCAAAGCAATGTTGGAAGTAAGTTATTAAAAAGCATGCGTTTTGACCTATGGTTAAAACTCTCTATCCCACATCGGATAAAAATAGAAAGGAAATGTGGTTAATATATGCGTAGTCCATTACGTATTGTTGCCAAGAAGGGAGTATTAATGGAGGAGAGTCTCCAAAGTAAACAAATAGGAAACTTCTCAGCCATTGTTACTCGCTTTCTTGGCCTCCTATCATTTTTGAGTCCTCGGCAAGTTGTTTGAAAAAAAAAAAAAAAAAAACAAACAAACAAACAACGAAGAGAAGAATATATATATATGCAAACTTCTCTTCAGGCTCAGCGCCAGGGAGTAATTCATTCGCCTCGGATCCTAAGTGTCCAGCTCAGCTCAACCTCCCTCAGGCTCAGCGCCGGGGAGTAAGTCATTCGCCTCGGATAAGTGTTCGGCTCAGCAAAACCTCGCCTCGGACCCTAAGTGTTCGGCTCGGCCCAACCTCCCTCGAGCTCAACGCCGGGGAGTAAGTCATTCGCCTCGGACCCTAAGTGTCCGGCTCGGCAAAACCTTACCTTGGACCCTAAGTGTCCGGCTTAGCAAAACCTCCTTCAGGCTCAGCGCCGGGGAGTAATTCATTCGCCCCAGATCCTAAGTGTTCAGCTCGGCAAAACCTCGCCTCGGACACTAAGTGTCCGGCTCGGCACAACCTCCCTCAAGCTCAGCACCGGGGAGTCCCTCAGGCTCAGCGCCAGGGAGTAATTCATTTGCCTTGGACACTAAGTGTCCGGCTCGGAAAACTCCCTCAAGCTCAGCGCCGGGGAGTCCCTCAGGCTCAGCGCCAGGGAGTAATTCATTCGCCTTGGACACTAAGTGTCCGGCTCGGAAAACTTCTTATTTATTTTGCTTCGGACTAAAACAAATAAGGAACCTTCAGGCAGGGTACTTTCCTTGAAAAAAAAAAAAAACAAATCTCTCATCCAACAGAGTGTGTGCAATATCAGAAGCATACAGGCATACTCAGTCGAAACAGAATAAAAGTAACACAGCTTAAGAAGCAAGGTTATATCATTCAAATTTATCATTCTCAATATTGTTTCATTACAAAAGAAAAAAGGGAAAAAAAGTTGCTCGATCCTACGTCCTCTTCGGATCAAACGGGGCAAATTCGAAAGCGTCTACCACAGCTGGACTTACAGGTGGAGGAATTGAAGGACCAGGAGTTACAGGAGTTGATGAGCTTGGAGGATCTTCCGAGTGAGCATCGTTGTAAGGGAAGGACACCCCTATATTCACATCAAAGGCATCAGGATCCATCGTTTTGGGGCCTGAGCCTTGATTGAAGCCGGACCGATAAGCTTTTGCACTTGACAAGCGCACCAGACTGGAGTAACGACCTTGCATCTGCCTCCCGGCAATGATGCAGGTGCTAAGGGCATCATTCAAATGCTGGACTTCAGCCTCCAGCGACTCAACTTTTGCATCAGAAACAGCCAGACGCTTCTTATAAACATCCCGAGCCTCATATGCAATTTGTGCATTGGCAATGGCATGGGATGCCTTCTTCTCAGAATTGCTGAGGTCTTTCTCCAGATTCTTAAGAGAGAGAGACTGAGCCTCAGCAGTGGCACAGAGGGCCATAGTATGATACAAGCTCTGCATCATGAGACAATAACAATGTAAGAAAATTTGTAAGACAATTATGATAATGAAAATAAAGGAAGGAGCAAACCTCTATGGCTCGAACAGGGGTAGATGGGAGTAGCTGTTCCAACCCCATTCTGCTAATAATTTCTTCATCCTTGGGGAGCCACATTCCCCGAGCGACGGCCAGTGCTGCAGATGGGTCAGTGATCATAGAATCACCAACATGGAGGATGGACTTGTCAGCCCTCGAGAAAGAAGGAGTCCAAGGTGCCCCAGCCTCAGCAAGGACGTAAGCACTGACCTCATCCTCAGGGTTAATCTCTTTAGCTTTCTTCCATTTGCTTTTTGGGTTGGAAGCACCCTTGGGTTTCGTGGTTGAAGAAGGGTTCAGCCTTGCCTTTTTGTTCAAAGGGACTTAGTCAATCTCCTTCTCCTGCTCGTTTGTACGCAATATAGTCAACGGGGTACTCTCTGCAACTTTCCTCTTCAAGGCTTTAGCCCTCTGTTTTTCTTCCTCAGTCATGGGGAAGTTGTCAAATGATGGAAGTGAGAGGTCCATGAGATCAGCGATTACAGCTCTGGAAGCAACTGCTTTTAGACTTGCAGAAGTGAGTAAGTTCTCAACTGAAGGAGGGTCGCTCCAAACCTGCCCTTCCAGGAAGGAAAGCCTCTTTTTAGCAGCCGAAGAAGGAAATGTCGCTGAAAAAACACCAAGAAACTCGTAAATATATCAAAAGAATAAGACTCGACATGGGAAATAGCCAGAACAAACTTCATGAAGAAAGGGGGGATGTTCTATACCTAACTTCCTGAACTTGCGAGGGATTGGGAGTTTGCTCGATTGGGGCACGGCCCATCTCCCTTTAACGATTATCATCATCTCTTTCCACTTCTTCTCAGAAGTAGGGAGGTCTGTACATATCCTTTGGTGCCAGGGGGAATGAAAAAGAAACGACCAAGTTCGGTCCCATGCTTAGAAATGGAATAAGTAATCAGCAAGTCAACCAGAGTCAGGTCAAGACTCTCCTGCCATCGGCAAATAAGGAGTGCCGAGATTACTCGAAGGAAGTTAGGGTTTACTTGTAGGGGTGCAATCCCCAATTTGTTGAAGACTACGTGATAGAAAGGATGAAGGGGGAACCTAAGAGCGTTAAGATGCCCAACAGAGAGGTCCAACTCGTCTTCTCCGACACCCTCGCCGGAGCAAAAATCAGTGCCTTTGGGGTATTCTGCAATTTCTACCCCCTCGGGAATCTCGAATTCCTCCATTACGGATTCAATGGAGAACGGGATATGACGAATAGATAAAATTGCATTCCTTTCTTCTTTAGTGAAGATATTGTCTGACCTAAAGGTGGATGTTTCAGCCTGGATCGTGGAAGCATCTGGTTGATTAACCGAGTCATTTACAGGTTTAGGGAAGTTCGAAACCCTAGAAGGGGGAACCCTAATGAGATTAGGGAAAGACGAGGGTTTGGACTCAGAATCTACGATCTCTATACGCTCAGGAGTAGTCGAAGTACTCATAATGTAAGATTGGAAGAAGGGAAAGAAGAACTAACCTGGAGATATGAAGAGTATGAAGAACGCAGTAGACAGAACGAGAGCACATTGAGAACAAAAGCGAGTCTTGAAAAAGCCCTTGAGTCAGAATAACAATAGACGCGAATGGAAACGCCTCGTGCAAGAATGGCAACTACACGACTTCAATTTCCCTTTAATTAGGAGCCGTAACCTAATTAAAGTGGAATTGGGGGCAAAGTGTGGAGGAAAAAATTTCCTTCCAATGAGAATGAGACATGCCACCACTATACAAATCTGCATTTTGGAGATCTCAGAAGCCCATCTAGATCAAGCCCAAGTTACGTTTTGCTTTAACCCATTATCATTTATGTTGGGCCTCCGAAACTAAACAAAAGCATCGATCAGCCCAACATCACCACTGTTGGAGTTTTGATCCATTAATCAAGTCACTTACACCAAATCGCATCCGGCCCAAGTATAACTAAAGATGGCTCAGTCCTATTTAACAAAGGAGTCAATTCGGATGGAATTCGGATGGTAAGTTTTTATACAAAGCAAATTCTACACAGGACATACCATACAATAAAAAAAACTCTATTTGTAAAGAAAGTCATGTATGGGAAGAATTGGAGGACAAGTAACGAGTGCTAACTTAATTCTACCAATTTTTATGTATAAATAGTCAAACAATTTTACGCTTCTATATATTGTTCTTATTTATTTTTATTATTTGTTGAGTAAGTTATTTTATTTCTCTTAAAGCTAAATTTTGCAAATACACGGTATATTTACCAAAACCAAACCTTTGAAATCAGTGAGGCATAATCATCAGCTTAATTATATAGGAGTATCCCTTTAACAGAGACGTCCCTTTCACTATATGGTTCCATCAGCGATCTATATAACACTATATATCACAGTTTAATAATATGCACAATAGGCTGCACCACTAAATAGTATATCTGTCATTTTATACTTTAGAATGACTAGTTTCTTGATTCAGAGCATCAGACAATTTAAACGACGACTAGCAGATAGATAGGTAGCTTTGCTTGCTTTGCCACAAAGTGGCTTTGCTTAGTGGAGAGGAGGACCAAAGAAGCATATTATTGGTTACATGCACCTTCCTTAGAGTCAAGACAGGCCAAGAGCTACAAACTATTTTAAAGCAAAAGAGTCCCACTTTACCTTCTTTTCACAATATCCATACACTGAATATACAAAATCAAAGTAAACAGTCCATTAATTATTGTGCAACTCAAAAATAAAACCAGGGACATGGGACAAGGTATGTAACTCTCCAGCCCTAAACAAACTTATATATAAGCACATAAAAGTACTTACATATATACAAAATGTAATAATAATAATAATAAAAAAAAAAAAACACAAACCAAACAAGATCATATAATTACTTAAACCACACACAGCACAATCATGACTGTAAAATTCAAAACAAAGTTTTGGTCTTCTTAATAGGCAGTACTCCCCTTCTCCTTTTCCTTTTCCCTCTTCTCTTCCTCAGTCTTGGGGTGGTATCCAGGAATCTTCCCTTTGATCTTCTCGAGAATGCCCTTCTTCTCGGGGCTGTAGGGCGGCTCGGTTGTGGAATACTCCGCCGGTGGTGCAGGGGCACCGGCGAACTCCTCGGCCTTCTTGTGATGTCCAGGAATTTTGTCCTTGATCTTCTCAAGGAGGCCCTTCTTTTCCTCTGGCTGAGTTGACTCAGGAAGGTCCTCATACTTGGGGACAGGTGTGTCCTCTTGCTTCACTATAGGGGCATATGAGTCCTCGTGGCGTTTCTTTTCTTGCTTTACTATAGGGGGGGCATAGGAGTCAGGGGCATACGAGGAGTCGTGGCGTTCCTCTTCTTGCTTCACGATAGGGGGGGCATAGGAGTCAGGGGCATACGAGGAGTCGTGGCGTTTCTCTTCTTGCTTCACTATAGGGGCATACGAGTCAGGGGCATATGAGTCCTCATGGCGTTTCTCTTCTTTCTTCACTATAGGGGCATATGAGTCCTCGTGGTGTTTCTCTTCCTGCTTCACTATAGGGACATACGAGCCCTCCTGGAATTTCTCTTCTTCCTTCTCTCCTGATAGCTTGTGTGATATCTTCTCCTTCAGTCCCTTCTTCTTTTTCTTCTTCTCTCCTCCTTCCTCTACTTCCTCATCGCTTGACTGCATATTTTTTTTAAAAATTAAAATAAAATAATGGTGAGCTTATCAATTATATTGATTAATTATTATTATAAGGACATGCATAGAAGGAGATGTGCTGGTGTTTGAAATTACTACTTTACCCTTTTGGATGGTAAGGTACTTTCATACTACCTGCCTGATGCAAATGCCTCACCATATATAAGATGACATTTAACTAACTTATTTAATTATTTATTCTAGTCAGAAGTTATGATCCAAAGATGTAGATAATGGAATTAAATTGTATTTCACTATCATTGAATTGCAACTTCATGTACCTATCATCTATTCAATTCATTAATTTGAATACCAACCTCTTGAAGAGGATCTAAACCATCTTAATCAAGATCATATATATACATAAAGACATGCACAAAATATAGATCTATATAGACTAAATATGACTATATTTACATAGAAAACAACTAACAATAAATCAAATATCTTTGTAGTATTAAAAGAATAATAGTCTTCTCAAATAACTATATATATATTTTTTTTGGGTAAGGATCAATTATCATTATTGTCAAATGTCTTTATAGTCCTTCTCAAAATATCTTTATAGTCACACATATATAGTTGTATACGCCTAAAGACCTGTATATGACCCGATCTATTCATGTTGATGACCTGAATATATATATATATATATGCCAATTTATGTACTATATAAATTAAAGGTGAATGAAAAACAAATAAAAAGCAACGTACATGTATACATATCACTGTGTTGAATTATATTAAATGATGATAAAATAAAAGCTTACCGATGAGCTAGAGGTGCTGCCAGACCGGTGGAGTTTCTCTAAGAGACTATGCTTCTTTTCTTCCTGCTTGTGCTCCTCTCCAATCTTAGGCTCTGGTTCAGTCACGTCTACCTTCTCCTCGAGCTCGGTCATTAAGAGACTGTGCTTCTTTTCTTCCTCCTTGTGCTCCTCTTCAAACTGAGACTCTGGTTCAGACACGTGTACCTTCTTGAACTCGGTCTCTAAGTCACTGTGCTTCTTTTCTTCCTCCTTGTGCTCCTCGTCAAACTTAGGCTCTGGTTCAGACACGTGTGCCTTCTTGAACTCGGTCTGTAAGAGACTGTGCTCCGGTTCAGACACCTGTACCTCCTCTTGAGGCTTCTCTTCCTTTTTCATTCCCAAGAAATCAAACCACCCACGTTCCGCGACCGCATCGGGCTTCACGGGGATCTCGCTCTCATGGCTCTTGTGTTCCTCAGCCATATCGATCAAGTTAGCAAACACAGATATAAAACAGATAAAGGAAACAAAAATAAAAAATTAAAGATCAAAATGTAGTGTACTGAATGAATATATGTATATGAATATGAATATAGTTGGCTGACGATCGAAGCTTTGAACAATAGTCGATGAATTGATATTTCAAGAGGGTAGTGGTCTTTTATAGGCCAAATGATCAAATCCAACACGTACCGGACGCGAATAACTAAAATATCAGAAGCCCAAAGGCCTACTCTAACCGACGTGTTAAAGTATCAGACAAAGAGCATCAAATTTTAATACACTCTCGGGTCATATCAGTTTTGTACTACTCGATATTTGCTAAGGACACGTGTCAGCGTTGGTAAGAAGGAGCGAGTATGGGGTTTTATGTAGGCGAGAGATGATGAGAGAAGAAAAAGAAGAAAGTAGAAAAGTGGTGAAGAACACGCTGTCATGATTTGGGTAGGTGATCGAATAGGAACATGACACGTGGGATAAGAACGTGAGAGAGGTGTACTAGTGGGACACAAAATTGTCGGTATTGATGGGATAAATATGGGAAGGTCGGTGGGTAAGCTCGTGTGGGCTCCAACATACGTGTACAGTAATTTAGAAAGAATGAGCGGTTGTGGGCTTCCCAAAGACTTGCCAGTTGGGCCCACCTTAGAGGACAGCTGGTCGGTTTGAAACTTTGACGTTGCCCACAACTTTCGAAAACAGTAGATGAAATTTCATTTTACCGGGTAATAATATAAAGGTAAAGTGAATTTGAGATCCACTTTTGTGTTTGTACAATTTAAGAATGCCAGTGAATAATGTTGCCCCACAGACCTAACGAAGTTGAACGGTAGGAGAAGATATTCAATGTTATCGGTGTGTTGTGTATCGGGATATCACAGTCGGTTATTGTATGTACATCAACGGTCGTGATGTGCACGATGTATGATTACATTGAATATCTTCTTAAATGATAGGATCAATTTATTAATCATAATTAATGCATCAGTGAATTTGAATTTTTTTTTACAGAATACTTAACGTAAATCATTGTATCAAAAACAGATTGGGATTCTCTAAATTAAATATCTTCTAAATTATGTTAAGTTGAATTTACTGTACATTTACGCGTGGCATTTAAATCACATCAACTTTAAATATTAGTGTTTGAATTAAGAAAAATTCACCATACTCTCTCTCTTTTCTTTATTTGTATCTTAAACAAGTCACGATAGTATTTGTTTTTTTTTTTTTTTTTTTTTTTTATCTAAAAAATGTATAATCTTTAAACTTTCTTTAAATTAGTTGACGTAATTTAAGTATATATATTTTAAATGTTACGTGTCAATTTATAATAAATTTAACTTAGTTGACGTGATTTGAGTAAATAGATTTTAAATGTTATGTGTTAATTTATAATGAATTTAATTTAGGATAACTTTAAATTAATTGACGTGATTTAAGTAGATAGATTTTAAATATTGTGGGTTAATTTATAAAATATTTAATTTAAAGGATTCAAGTCCATCAAAAACTTAGAACAAATGAGTGTCCTACAATAATAAATTGATGGGGGCAACAATAATAAAATAATTGTATTTTTTATTTAATGGCATTGTAATACACGGATGTGATATTTTAAAAGCAAATGTATCGTACAGGGAAAAAATTATATTTTTTATTTAATGGCATTGTAATATACGAAAGTAGTAAATGTATAATATAGTAAAAAAATTATATTTTTTATTTAATGGTACTGTGATATACGAAAGTAAATGTATCGTATTACATTATCAATGCACTAAATCATTTGGTGCACCGAGATGTTTTAGGTCACTTTCGATAACACTTTGAATATTTATTCTATTAATTTGTATCCATAAATATAGAGTTAAATAAAATATATTTCTTATGAGATTTCAAAATATCTTGATATCTTTAATATTCTGTAGATCCAATTTTGTTTGGAATCTCATTCATCCTAAAGGAATTCCAATTTAAATGCAAGTTGGCTTGATTGAACATCATTTTCTTTTTCCTTTAAGTTAGGTAAAATAAAATCCACAAAATTTTATCTCACTTGGAGCTTGAACTACACGCATGGTTCTTGTTTTGTTTGGCTAATGGGGGGATATGGATAGATTCTATAATTGACTTCTACTAAAAGGTATGGGTGGAGGCAGAAATTAAATTAAGGGTCACATTTAAAAAAAAATAAATAAAAATAAAAATTAATAACATAACAATAAATATAAATTACTCAAAATAATATATCAATCAAAGAGCCATTTTAAAAAAATAAATATTTAACAAATATTTTTTAAATGAAAGAAAAATGAGAGAAAAAATTGGATTTTGATTAAAAAAGAAATTTGACTTTTTTTTAAAAAAAGAAAATTAAATGAATTTAAAGAGTAACAAAGACAAAAAATACATAATTTAAGAGATAAATTTAGAAAATAAAAATTTGAAGGGGGCATTATATGATTTTTTTTCATATATACATATAAAAATACATAAATTTAGTATATATATTATAAAAAATTATATTTTTGAGGACTTTAATATTTCGACTAAAAACCAACCTAGAAATTTGACATGTTATTATAAAATGTCAACTTAAATAAGTATCATTACTATTTGACGTGTTATTATATATTTGTTTCCGTAAAATACGTCAATTTTTATTTCTTTATCTACCTAGTTTTTCATAACTCAGTTTTCCATAACCGTAACTTCTTTTTCGTTTTCAAATCTTTCATGGTAGTCAAATAGAAGAATTTGATTGGTACAAAATCTAGAACAAAACTGCAATATTTTTCAATTTTTCAATACTTTGCAATTTTTATTTATTTATTTATTTTTTGTTTGGAATCACATAGATCATTAGTTTTAATCATTACATCAATGCACAAATGTTTATCTAATTATATATAGGAGATACAATCTTAAATATCTATGTATTAGAGATCGAGATGCAATGTGATATATATATATAACACATGTACAATTTGATATAGATTGAAACTTTAATAGCCAACAAATATATTATATTAAGATGAAACCTAAAAAATGAGTTATAACTTTTTCAAATAGTTAATTATCCTATATTTTAAAATGTGTCTCATTATATTTGACTTGAAACTATAGGTCTCATTATATTTGACTTTAAAATGTAGTCACATAGACTCGGTGGAGTAGTAAGTTTTTATTTGTCAGCTAAATAATAAACAGGCCAGACCAGGGACATGTGCCAGGGCATAACCGGCCCTGCTAAAGGTTTAGTTTTTCACTTGAAACTATTTTGAAAATTTGGCTGAAAACCTAACTATTAGAGGCCTATAAAGTAAGTAAGCTTTAACAGATCAATGGATTTGAGCCTGATGGATAGCTACGTGTTAGTCGCCATAGTTAGGCTGAAAGTTCGATAAGTTAGGGAGATCATCAAAGCATTCAATGTTTGGATTAACATCTAAGTTACACAATTTTGGAGGAAGACCAATATTAGAAGCATCGGAACCTGAAAATCTTTATGGTGTCTAAAAGCCCAATTATATACGCCTGTTTGTTCTGGACTTTTGGTTTATAAAATTGAAAAAGGCCCATATGCCCATTAACACATCCAGATTGGGTTGGGTCGCAGTAAATACCAAACACGTTCTGGGTTGATCCAAACCTCATAAGCCCAATTGAATTGCCATTCTCGATTGCTTTTAAATAAACGGCAAGTAAGATAGAATGTTGGACCAAAGGCATTGCAGTTCCTCTTCACTTTTTAAAGGAGAACGTGGAGGTTCAGGTCTCCATAAAAAATAAAGTGGTGTACGAGTATTTTTTTCGCTAATGAAAAAAATAAAAAAATAAAATAGAAGGTTGGAATTAAGTCCACAATTTTAAAAAAATGGTTGTGTTTGGTTTGTGTGTGATATGGATACTCTTTAACAAAGTTTGAGTAAGGTCTATTTGGAAATCTGAGCCCTAGTTAATGTTGGATTTGGCATTGAAATTTAGATATGTGAATAAGTTGAGATATTGAATAACCCCATACACGTGTTTATTACCTTTTTGAATGAATTTTCAAGATTTTAATATCTCTAAGGCAGAAATAGTATTTCAATTGCTGTTAATTCAAATTCAAAATAATTTTACAATCAAACACTATAATCCAGTGATATCTTTTTTAACTCCCAGCGTGATAGTGACGAATGTATCAGTTTCTTGCCCAAAAAAACAGAGAAAAATCTAATGTTCAATTTACGTTTTTAACCTTATCTCAAAGAGTTAAACACCAGTTGGACCAAGTAAGTCTCAAAGCCCAACCAGTTTGGGCTTAAAAAAAATGACCTATGATATACTCTCTCTCTATGATTGGGTCATAGAATAGAAAGAGTAGAGAGACTCCATACGCAACTACTAAAACTAAAAACCAAACGAACGTTGATGCCTTTCGTTTCTCTCCCGTTCAAATTTTCTTCTTCGCCTCTCTCTCTCTTTCTCTGCAAATCGTGACTTGCCAATGTAAATGACAAATGTGCTTTTGATATATATACACATATATCTAGAGATTTAGAAAGAGAAGCTGAGAGAAGGGGAGAAGGAGCGAGGCGGAGAACGCAACGATGATAACGCGTTCGAATCTGGCGGAACAGCTGAGGGAATATCAGATTCGATCCAAGCATGATTGGGCTTCTGTCTCTTTCTTCTCCTCCACTTCTAAGCCTACTTCTTCAAGGTATCATCCAATTTCAATCCACTCTCATCAAATAGGTTTAAATTTATGTAATCTCTCTATATATAATTTTTTTTTCAAAATAAGAGTTTCATATGCAAGTAATCATATATATATGTGTGTCTATATATATATATATATTTCAGATAATTTGTTGTTTTTTTGGTGATCTAAATGGTTTAGCATCTGATTAGAATTTCTCCTATTTTGAAATTCATTTGGAAGATCACGGGTTGGATCATCTAGGGTTTTTGTGTCTTTGGTAGAATTTATACACCGATTTCTATTTTAGAAGGTCTGTTTTTTGAAATTTGGATTTGTAAAACCAGGGAATATAGGAAATTGACACGTGAAACCTATAATTGAAGCACTTTTTTTAATTATGCCTGGCATTGTTTTGCGTAATGGGTATAAGTTGTTAGATTCTTATTGTTAATTTGAGTTATCGAAACTTAGGTGTGAGGACTTCGTCCATCTGGTCTGATTTGTTCTTCTAGAAAATGCTTTCTTGTGCTATTTCAATTTGGATTGGGAACTAAGTTGGCAGTTATTAGACAGACAGACGGGATTTTTTTTTAAAAATAAATAAAAAGAATTTTAACTGAAATGTAATTGTTCAGATGGAAGACTTCTTTCCTCTTTTTGAAAGGATCACACTTTTAAGCATTTGAATTATAATTTTTGTCCTTGTGGAGCTTTTTAGCTCACATCATTACTTTAAATGTTGTCATCCGTTGTGTTTCATTGATCAACTTTTTTCTCCCAAACATGAGATTGCTTGCCAAAGTACACTCCTAGAGAAGTCGTCTTCTTTCTTCTTAACAAGTATATGAAAAATGATCAAACGTATAAATGCAGTGGGTTTTAGTTTTCCCATGGATCTCTTACGACTGTCTTTCAGGACTCCAAGTCAGACTCTTTCAAGGCAGTATGTGTTAATTAAAACCAGTCAGAAGTTTAGGGGGTGAAATTTGGAGGTTTTAACTTTTAAGCAGTGATGAAAAAGAAAGTCGCAGACCACTGAAACTTGAAAGAAGGCAGAGTGGAGGCTATAGTATGGGGATTGAGATGAAGAAAGTCATACCGGATAAATCTTGCTATCCCTACAGGTTGATGAATCTGCTGTTTGGTCTGTGTCCCGTCCCAGTCCCACGAACTTGAGTTTCCAAGTTCTTGATAAAGAACTAAATTTTTTCTTTATTATTATTATATTTTCTCTAAAAAGATTTTCCATGCCTACCCCATATGTAAGCTCCAAAACTCCCAACCCACATCCTCAATGGGACATGAACCCAACTCCATCTCCCTAGTGGGTTGGAATAAGTACCACCTTAGCTATACAATTGGTTGTAAAGCTATTGTTGGTCTAAAATAAATTTTCTAGCCAATGCATATATAGATTTTTTTTTTGATAAGTAATAATAAATTAAAAAAGCGTTCAAAAGGGGAACGTGTCCCTAGAACAATAATCGGGGACTAAGGCCCCAAAGAATCCAGAAAAGAAATTAAAGCATCAGAAGAAGAGAAAGAACTCCTCTTCACAAAACTAAAGAGAGAACGAATAATAATAAATTTTAGTGTCGCCGTAGACGACTCTTTCCATTCATACGCAATGTGGGACATTTCTCCAGAAATCGCGCACACCTCTGCTCACGCGACATTCTCTCTGGGCATAAATCAAATCCTTAATAGAACGTGGCATTACCTAACACATGCCAAACAATCCAAGAATAAGATTCCAACTATTGTACGCCACAGGGCAATACATAAGAAGATGATTAACAGATTCCCTATCTTGCTTACAAAGGCAACATCAATTAACAATACAATTTCCCCTCTTCATTGATGGATCAGTTTACTGGGGGAAGGAGGTCTTTAGATATGGATCAGTTTTCTGACTTCATTGATGAGCATCTTCTCATTGATCTACCAATGGAAGGCGCAACCTTTACTTGGTCTAGTGGCAGGGATTCAGTTACTCTCTCAAGACTGGACATATTTATGATCTTCGGGGAGTGGGAAGAAAAATTCCCAGATGTTGTTTAGGCGGTCTTCGCAAGGGTTGTTTTAGATCATGTTCCTCTGGTCTTGGATTGTGGGGGTTTGTGTTCTCGTAGAACCCCGTTTTGATTTGAGAATATGTGGTTGAGATCGGAAGATTTCCAAGGGAAAGTTCGATCTTGGTGGGATGGAGCGATGGTTATAGGAGCACCTAGCTTCATATTAACACAGAAGTTAAGAGCTCTCAAATTCAATCTGAAGCAGTGGAATAAGGATGTTTTTGTGAATCTTGAATGGAGAAAGAATAGAGTCCTGAATTTTCTGAGATTGATTATCTTGAGGAGGCAGGTGGAGATATGGAGTCTCTTTGCTCTAGGAGAACTTCCTGTCAGGCAGCTTTAGCTGAGATTGCTAGTATGGATGAGATTTCGTGGCGTCAAAAATCTCGGGCTCTTTAGTTGAAAGAGGGGGATCGTAACACAAATTTTTTTCACAGATTAGCTAATGCTCATAGAAGGAGTAATCACATTGGACGCATTCGGGTGGAAGGTGTGGAGCTGTGGAGGGAGGAAGAGGTGCGTAATAGGATAGTTTCTTTTTATCAGAAGCTTTACACAGAACCTTTCGGTTGGAGACCCAAACTTGATGGACTCCCTTTTGAGGCTATCTTTGAGTTAGAGAGATGGGTTAGAGCTTCCTTTCACTGAAGAAGAAGTTCTAAAAGCCTTGTCAAGTTGTAATGGGGATAAAGCTCCGTGGCCTGATGGGTTTACTATGCGTTTTTTTGATGGAAAGCTGGACGGTTGTGAAAGGTGAGGTGTTGGGTACCTTTCAGGAGTTTCATACTTCTGGTGTCTTTGAGAATTCGCTAAATGCCTCATTTATTGCCCTTATTCCTAAGAAGGGAAGCGCTTCTGATATTAAGGATTTTCGTCCTATCAGTTTGGTGGGCTGTATTTACAAACTTATTGCTAAGGTGCTTGCTCAAAGGATGACAGAAGTTATGGATGGGATTAACTCAGACTCCCAGAATGCTTTTGTTGGAGGTCGGCAAATTCTTGATTCAGTTCTTATTGCAGGCGAATGTGTGGATTCAAGATTGCGCAGCGGTGTTCCTGGAGTTCTATGCAAACTTGATATTGAGAAAGCTTATGATCATGTTAACTGGAATTTTCTCCTCTATTTGCTACAAAGAATGGGGTTTGGAAGTAAGTGGAGGAAATGGATTGAGACATGTCCTTCAATTCTCTTGCTGGTTTTTTTGGGTGTTCTAGGGGAATAAGACAAGGTGATCCATTGTCATCTTTCCTCTTTCTTATTGTCATGGAGGGCCTTAACAGACTTATGCGTAGGGCAGAGAATCTTGGGCTCATTAAGGGATTCAGAGTGGGAAGAGATATTGACCATCAGGTGGAGATTTCTCATTTGCTATTTGCAGATGACACTTTGGTTTTCTGTGATGCAAATGTGTTTCAACTTAGATATTTGAGGTGCATTTTGGCATGTTTTCAGGCGGTTTCCGGGCTAAAGGTTAACGTGGCTAAGAGTGAACTTGTCTCGGTTGGGAATGTTCAGGATATCTCTTCTTTGGCTGCAGTACTTGGTTGCAGGGTTAGTTCCTTTCCTATTCCTTATTTGGGTTTGCCTTAAGGGGTCTCCTCAAGGTTAGTGGGGGAGTTGGGACTCTGTGCTCGACAAGTATGCAAAGAGGTTGGCAGGATGGAAAAAGCAATATTTGTCAAAGGGGGGCAAAGTAATTCTTATTAAGAGCACTTTATCTAGTCTTCCCACATATTTTCTTTCTATGTTCCAAATTCCTTGCTCCATTGCTGAAAGGATTGAAAAAATTCAAAGGGATTTTCTTTGGGGCGGAAGGGGAGAAGAGTTCAAGTATCACCTTGTTAGATGGGAGTGAGTTTGCAAGCCTATGAAGTTGGGTGGTCTTGGTATTAGACGATTGATTCCTTTTAGTCAAGCTTTGTTGGGCAAATGGTTGTGGAGGTTCGGGAAGGAAAGGCAACGTCCTTGGCAAAGGCTAGTATCGTGTTGGTATGGGGAAGACGTTGGCGGTTGGACTACACGCCCGGTTTCTATTACGGGAGGAGTTGGGGCTTGGAAATTCATTCGGAAGGGATGTGATGCTTTTTCTCTTCATATTAGATTCAAAGTTCGTGATGGTAGATGCGTCCGTTTCTGGGAAGATCTTTGGTGTGGGGATCAGTTATTATCTCGCACATTTCCCAGATTATACAGTATTGCAATTGACAAACATGCTTACGTGATTGACTGTTATCGGCTTGATATACGTGGAATGTGCACTTTAGGCGGTCATTTCAGGATTGGGAGTTGAAAGAGGTTTTTCTGGACCAATTGTATCGGCAGGAAGGAATTGGTAGGGGGTATGACAATTTGATATGGATTCCCTCTTCTCATGGTCGTTTTGAAGTAAGATCTTTGTTCTTATATTTGTCTAATTTTGTTAGCTTTGTCTTCCCGTGGAAAACTATATGGCGCTCTTCGGCACCTACTAGGGTGGCATTCTTTGTGTGGACAGCTGTGTGGGGTCAGACAATGCATATATAGATTTGATTAATATTGTGGTTCTTGTAGTGTTTAATATTGATATGGATTAAGAAACCATAAATAATCTAAATATTATGAGTGAAGCGCGAAAAACTGTTGAGATTTGTAGCATAAGTTCTTCGTCTTTTATCAAGTATATTGTTTTAAGATGAAGGTAGACTATTAATTAAAGTGCTGAGAACTTTTGAATTGTGAAAATGCGAGACTCTCTTTTTCTAAGGTGATGTATAAATAGTTATAATTGCAATAATCCTATTGACTAATGAAGCTCTAGAATAACCTTTTGTCCACACACCCTCACCTGTGCATGTCCCACACTAATTATTCCACATCAATTGCTGTTTGTCATATGATGTACTAACTTCAGGTTTGTCTAGTTGATGCCCTTCCTTTGTTTTTATTTATTATTATTTTTTACTCTTACACATTATTATTAGTATATATATTTTTTGTAATAGGACCCTCACAAAGTTGTTGGATTTTAGTCGAATTCGATCCTGTGAAACTAGACTCTGTTTTTTCCTCCTTGAGATACCCTAGAATTAAGGTTCATGTTGTTGTCTTTGTTTAACCAATATCTCATAAGGTTTCATTGTCTATGAAAATATGTTTCATTGGTTCAAACTCTAAGGAGAAATTAATTGGAGGAGTAAAGTAAATAATGATTTTGAATGTTTTTATTTTTTGATAGGAAATTTGAATGATTTTATTTGTAAAAAATCTACTTGTTCTATGCATTCATCGCACTGACTATTGTAAATTGTCATGATGAATGTTTTTCTTACTATTTTGTGTATGTTATGAATGGGCTTGTGTCACTGGTGTCGTTGTAGTTGTAGTGTTGTGACGTGGGTGGTTCAGTATCAAGCTCTGCTTGGTGCTTTTCAATTTCGCCATGACTGATAGCTGATGTCTGTTTGCTGCATCTGTTGTGTTGGTGCCGTGACGTGTAAACTGTCTTTGACAAATTTGTCTCCAACTTATTTCTCCAAAAACATGTGCATAGAATGTGCTCATGCATGTAAAGTAGATGTGGTAATTACATATGTGGTTTAGTCTTTCCCTCCCAGCATTAAAGATTTATAATTAGAGCCTAGGATTCCATGGCTTCATGGAGGTCCAATAGTCTCGATGACGCTAAATTGCTTGATTCATCTAGGAATATGCTGGACTTTTACCTTGATTAGTGAATGAGTGTTGTGTGAATTAGAGTTACCAGTTTTGGCCCTGTTGTATCTGTATGTAAAGCGGTTGGGGAGGTACAACCGAACTATAAAATAACACTTGATCCGTTAATGTGGCCTTGGAACTTTTTGTCATATACTGATGCTGTCAATGCCTTTTTTATCCATCTAAGGGATTGTGTGGTCGTAGAAGATTCACACATGTTCTCATCTTGAACCTTATTGTATATTATTGTAGTTCCTCACCCCAAGCAATTTAGGCCCGTGCACCTTAGACGTTGATCAACTCTCTGGCTTTGATTCATCTCTTCTGGTCACTCCTATCATCCACCACAATATCCTCATTTCCGCTACTTGAATGAGTTATTATTTCTTTTCAACGCCCAACACTCGTACAAATAGATGGCTTAATACATGAATCCTCCTAACCAAAGCAGTGCTCCTATAGGCACTATTTTGGTTTGTATATCTCTTCGGTGCTTGTGCGTCAATGAGTGTGGTTGTCATTTGCTATGAAGTGATAAGTAGTCCACAAATTGGAGAAAGTAGAGCAGGAATCATTAGGTGTCGTTTGCCTACACTGCATTTTTTAAGACTGGATACTGCCTTTAACACATTATGTTGCACGTGCATTAAACATGTTACTCTAAAGGCTAATGCCTACTCAAGTCTATCTTCAAGCCTTTCAACAACACAAGCTTAGGCTTACATTTCAGAATTTTGGCTGAAATAGTGGAAAGACGGTGGTAGAGCTCTCAAATGAGGCTTGTAACATCTTGGATATCATGATGGCATGCAAAATTACTAACTAATGTACAATATGTGAATGAGTGAGGTCTTTGGGCTAGACTGTTGTAAAGTTGAATACTTGATAGAAAATAAAGCATGGCATTTACCTTTAAATTGGATGATTGAGTCCACCGAGTTACATACATAATTGGGTTTAAATTGAAGTTCTGAATGTTTCTAAGCAGACATTGGTTGTCATTGCTTTGATGTTTTTTGGTTCATAATTAGTTTGATGTTTTGCTTGTTTGAATCAATAAAATTGGCGTGTGCTTGAAATTCCTGAGAACACTAGGACCTGAGTTCATATTGTCAGGAGCATTTTTTGTAACGAGATTCTGCATTTTTTGACATGCTCCGTTTTGCTTTCTTCTTGGCACAGGGTGGACGTTGTGGTCTTTGTAATATGGGAACTCGTCATTTTAGCTTTCCTGGTTTTCTCAGCTGTTTCATTATATTTCAGGCATTTGACACTTGCTCTTATCTTAGCTTGCGTCACATCACTACTGCTTTTATGTATGAAAATTACAAAGCAAGTAAGACTGGCCAGGAAAAAGAGGCGAAGGATGCTTCTTCCGCTATCCATGTAGAAAGTCCATGTAGTTGCAATTCTTTTTGAAATCACCAAATTATGTTGTGTGATTTGTGAGAATTCATGACCATGGCTTTTGGTCCATCTTCTCTTTTTCCGATTTTGGGGTTTTATTGGCATATGTAATTGTAATTAAAAGAGTTCATTAAAGAATACAATTGATGTGATTACTTCAAGATGAGAGATTCAAAGTAACATACTTTATTTTCTTGTTTCTGTTTGTTTGTTTGTCGAGAAAATTAACTGAAAAACAAAGGAAAAAAAAGAAAGAAGGAAAGATGTTCAAAGTGGTGCCAGTGGGGTGGCTGGTTGGTTGTAGGTTTTGCTTCCTGTTCCATGATATTTTCCAGATTTGGGTAAGTAATCTTGTTTGGGTTAGTCACTCGGTTTATAAAGATGATTTGCTCATGACCAGTGAATATGGTGCTTTTGTTTCAAAGATTTGGAATACTGAATTCCTGCAATCAGATACTACTGTATGCCAGAACATTGCTCCCAGTGAGTCTCTCTCTCTCTCATTACTCCGAAGTGGATCCCTTCTGTGCACCAAACGAGTTCAATGCGGTTCCCACGTTTGACTTTGTGTTGTGCAAACGAGTTCAATGTGGTTCCCATATTCGACTTTGTTTTGCATCAAAACGATATAGTTTTAGTGCACTGTAATGGTACGGTTTACTCTTTACTCTTGTCACATGGGAGTAACATTATCTTTCCAAGAATATACTAGATTTATCTTAAGACTAGCTTTGTCAAGTTGATGGTCATGTCCGTGATTTCAGAACAGAGACTCGAGGTCAGGTAGGTCAGATTTGCGTATGTTTGAACTCATTCAATTGATTTTTCTAACAGACATATTATAATAAACATGTCCGTGATTTCAGAACAGAGACTCGAGGTCAGGTAGGTCAGATTTGCGTATGTTTGAACTCATTCAATTGATTTTTCTAACAGACATATTATAATTTTATTGCATATGTCATCACTTGGTTTATTTGGCAGTCTACCCGTTGGTTCAATAATGATTTTGTGCAAATAAGGGTCCATTTCTTTCAAATTTTTTGAGAAATAAAACTATTCTTAAAAATTTAAAATAATCAGGTCCTTATCACTGAACTAATTTAATCACTGATTATCTGAAGAAATAGCTGTCTCTCTATCCATAAATATCCTTATCCCCATCCACTGAATAACACATTTTTGTACATAATATCGCCTTTTATCAATTGGATTAAATTCGAAATATGATAAATTAGCTCCTAATTCAATTCAATGAAGTTTGAACAATACTTAGGTCCTTAAGTATTGTTCATGAAGTTTTATTAGTTTTAAAACCCTCACCTTTGGAAAGAGGAGAGCAAAAGAAACCACCCATATTCGATAAACCTATTGTAAGTAACTTGCTGAAATAATATTATTTTGCATAAATTAGTACAAAATTGCCTTAATTAATTAGGATCCAAATCACCAAACTTTAATTCATTAGAGTCACCAAAAAAATGCACCTCCTTTTTGCCACTTCAAGAGGCAGAATGTGAGCGGTGTGTTTAAGACGGTCACAAAATGACTGTTAAAAGGCAAAAACAGTTCAATATTAAAGACCCCACTTGGGTACTGAGCTTAGTTGTGCTCACATGTCTGAGACACCACTTGGTTACAAATAGATTAATTGATAGAGACACTCTGAAATACCATCAAAGTAAAAAGTTAAAAACAGGAAAAATATCCGCACTTGACACTTATCTACCATAGAAAAGTTCTAAATGTAATTCAACAAAGTCTGTTAATTTTCCATCTCTCAACTTTGGACTGTTCTACATGTCTCTAGCCATAAAATTGAATGCTTTTACAACAAAACTAGACCATTGGTTCTTACTTTTTCTGATTTAGACCCTCACATATTTTAAAACAAGGGTAATGACTGACCGTTCGAGATTTGGTACGTTGAGCACACGATACTCCTAATGTTTTCTTTTCTTTAGACTTACGGACTAAATTTTTAAAAAATGATAATTTTATCCTTCTTTATATAAAAATCTTGCTCTTCCATTCCATTGTATAAAACTCCGACTTTTCATACTCAAAATCATTTTTTGTCAAACAATAAATGAATTTATAGAAACCTGAGAAGTCAAAGTAATAACCTTGAACGGTGTATCTGTGTGGTTACTCCAAACCCCAGGGGAGATAAGTATAATTTACTCTCGAAACAAATCAAGAACATAATTTCAATATAATTTGAAGTCACAGGCCATCTCATTCCCTTCATTCTCAACCAATCTACGACCTTATCACATTAACGTCACCTTTTAGCACACCTTCAACTGCCAATAGAAGTCCCACAACCAACCAAAACCCATCCCTCAACGCCAGAAGCCATCAACCTATAGATACAAAACCTTCTATATCTAGTACCTGTAACAAGTACTTGCAACTGACCCATCACTCATCTTTGCTTCAAATCTGCTCTGAGCAACAACACAAAGAAACCCCAATACTACTTTTTATTATGAAGACAAGTCCTTCGAAGAAGCTAAGTGAGATCATAGAGAAATGGAGGAAGAGAAAAAAGGGTCATTTTGCTGTCTACACAAAGGAAGGCAGAAGGTTTGTTGTGCCTCTCTACTATCTGAATCACCCCATTTTCAGAGTGCTACTGGAGATGGCTGAGGAAGAGTTCGGATTGACGATTCACGGGCCACTTCAAGTTCCATGTGAGGAGGAACTGATGGAAAACATTCTGTGTTTGCTAAGGAAGCATACAGCACTCGTTTCAATCAGAGATTCCATAGGAGTTTCGATTCCTTCGTTATTTCCTCTCTTTCAAGCCGACAATCGAGGTGAGCTCAAATCTGTGGTTCTGTAATGGGGTTTCATAGTTTTAGGGGCTTTGGTTGAAATTTGTAGAACTTGCCAATGGCTCTTGTAGACTGAAAGGAGTTCAAGAAATAATTCTCACACTTTTTTAAATGAAGATTAAGATAGTTTCTTAAGTTTCTCTTATTTTTATTCCCCACCTCTAAACCACCTTTTCACATAAAGAAATATTAACTAGTATGTAATTGCCATTATCATATATACAACATAAAATACTGAAATGGCACAAAAGAAAAAAAATATATTCAGATACACACAAACATATATCAGCAAAAACATACATTTTATTAATTCATGAACGGATAGGTAAATCAAATAGTGCCCATTTTGACATTATTAGATAGAAGCCCTCTAGTATTGTTATACATACTACATACATACATACAAGGCATAATTATCAAAGATAACTAACAAGCCGCAAAGCTATACTACAGCATGCAAATGAGTTGTAACATGGATTCAGCTAAACAATACAATCACCTTTCCTGATCCTTTCGAAGCAGACACCCAGTTTCTCTAAAGTTTGGAGGTAGCAAGCTTTATCAGATCCTTCCGTAATATCTTGCCTGACGGATTCTTGGGGATTGAATTTACAAATTCCAATCGCCTGATTTTCTTGTATGGAGCCACCTGTTTGCATATATTAGCATGTTAATTTAACAATTTAGTAAGTCATCACAAATCTCGTAAGATGAAGAATTTGGAATAAGTCAGTGGCTGGCTCTAATAGTTTGAACACCTCCAGTTTAAACTTTAAATCACCTGTTTAGCAATAAAGTCCATGATTGCACTCTTTGATACATCACTTCCGCTTTTCCGTACCACATATGCCATGGGATACTGCCCAACCTCCTTATCCGGGAATCTGAGAAACAAAATATCAAATTTAAGTTCTCTCTTAGTTCATCAAATGACCATATGAGATTGATTGTGTTCTTGGAAAAAAAAAAACATCTTGAAAAATAATATGGAAATAACATGAAAAGAAAATCTTGACAAAGGAACATTATTATTGATATTTTATCTTATGCTATCGAATTTGCAAGTTCTTCCATTCTGATGGAAAAGAAAAAGCTTACGGTATAACAGCAGCATCAGCAACTTCTGGATGTGTAAGTAATAAAGCCTCTAGCTCTGCTGGGGGGACCTAAGAAATCAAGTGTCTAATCCATGAGAGTATATTCACTAAACAAAAGTCTTTATGAGAATTATCTAATTCGAATGCTAATTCAACTTTTATTTGCATCATCAACATGATAAATATATAGACAGATTGGATTATAAAGGAAAATGAACCAACCATGTAATGTGAGAGACTATAATTAAAATTAAGTTACAGGAGTTTGATAAAGGTAGCCAAATGGGGAGGAATTAGTAAATAAAAATTCCATTCACCTGATATCCCTTGTATTTGATTAGTTCCTTCAACCTATCAACCACAAAAATGAATCCATCATCATCAATATAGCAAAGATCTCCGGTTCTTAACCATCCCTCGGAATCTAGAGTTGATGTGGTTGCTTCTACATTACTGAAATAACCTGTAAAGAACCATTCCAAGCTTGATTAACATAAATGTTCCAACTAGTGAAAAATGAATGAACCCACACAATGTACAAACTCGCAAGACAGGGCCATCTTTGTGCCTAAGAAACTAACACATCTGAAAGTTTATTGCAAATCATCCCAAACACATCCTAGCAAAATATAAGTAAATAACCAGTGTTCTTGGGCTACTGGGGATTACAGTATATTTGGGCAAACACTAGCAGTCGAGGCATTTCATACTCAACTCAACAAAGCTTTTTTCTCTCTTGGTAACGGACATGAATCCTATTTTTCCGTTAAAGTCGACTGGCATTTCATATGAGCATATAATCATCACCAGGTTCCACAAACTTTGATTTATAGGCACAGGTAAAATTAAGAATTTTGATGGAAAATCATCCAAAGTTAGCAAAATCTGAAAATTTCCAATGTCATGAGGTGAAGTTACAGTACAAGTTAACAAATAACATGATTGGAATGTATAAAAGAAATTTAAAAAGATAAAGTAGGCCACACATGGCACAGAAGAACAGGTACTCTTGCTGCAGAAGAGATTTTATATGTGGCATTGAACAGGTTAAAAGAGTACCAGTCCACATTTTTTTTTCCTTTCGCGGGGGGTAACTAACTAGCCAAAAGAAATGAGAATAGGCAAGCATACAAAGTTCATAAAAAATATATATATTCATATGGATTTATATAATAAATTTCCAATTCAAGTATACAATTTTATCCGCTATACTTCGTACCATAATATTAATTATATTTTTATAAAATGATTAATAAGTACGAACTTCACCAAACAAGTGTTAACTTAAAAACTAGTATTATCAAGTCTTAAATACACAAGTAAAATTTTTAAAAACATGTACTACAAAAGCTTATAAACTAAAAGCATAACAATTAACAAGTCATGTATACTTGCACTAAAAAACAATTTACAAGCATTTCCTATTAGTTATACAATATACTACTTATAGGACATAATCATATGTAACTTATAAGTAAAACTAACACAGCATCTGTAGCAGTTAGTTATGATAACAATAGTGCCAATATACCACTAACACAATATATGCAGCAGTTACTTATGATAACAATAGTGCCAATACACTGGATTGTAATAGATAAGAGTAATGCCATAAAAACCAATTGGTTTTTGTAGTTACACCAATTAACAGAGTCCGATAAGGACCCTTGTTAGCTTTTTAAAATGACACTCTTTTCTAGGTATTTATCCCAATCAATAATTTCCACATCAGGTCCATTACGTAGGTAAAAAAGAGTCGACAATTATATCATTTTTCAATAGATAATAGATATAAATATTGAGTAATGCTACAATGAGGTGTCATGAGCTTTCTGCCTTTTTGTTGTGATAATGTGCAAATATTGAGGCACACATCTAACAAACCAATCAATTAAACTTTTATACACTCCTTTTGACTACATTTCACCAAATTACATTTTATTTTATAGTATTTTAAGCTGATTGGACGTGTCAAATCTCCAGCATGAACACTGCTAATCATTTTATTTTATAGAGAGAGTAATGCTTTTATGTAAAATTGTGTTCAATATTGACGCATTTTATAAAAGAATTCAAAGAATCAATATTTATAAGGGAAAAATGCAAAAAACCCAGTTGAACTATAGGGGTTTTGCAAGAAACCCCTGAACTAAAAAAAAAACCCCTTGAACTATGATTTTGTTGCAATTTGCCCCATCAGGTCACCGAAAAAGAAAAAAAAGACAATTTTGCCCTTATTATAAAACCACGCAGCTCCAAATAAAGTTACCGTACATCTTCCTCCGGCGTAGCCACCGGTGTGGACTTTCTGGACGCCGTTTCAAAAGCAACATGCCGGTAACCCTAGCATAACTATACTCAAACACATCTCTAGTGGAGACCCAACATCTCTTTATTGCCAATCCATTTCCATATTCATGTGATACCACCGGATGATGCAAATCAAATGAGCTTTCAGTTTTCCTACAGTACAAAAATGCAACAGAGGGTGGCAGAAAAACCATTTATGCAGATTACTAGTGTAAAAATCAACCCCATTTCCTTTATATCAAGATCAATACACCCAATTGCGTGTGCTGCATTGACGAAGACTTGGTCAACACCTTTGTCTCTACAGATCTTAACCAATTCCTTCACCGGAATCACAAAACTCGGCATCGATGTGATGTGATCGGTCACTGCTAACCTAACCCTACGACTGTTCGATTTGCCCCTTTCTAGGGCTAATCGAAACTCGTTGGCTATTTTAGTCTTGGAATTAACAGAAAATGGTAATTGAACTTCGATTACCTGACTGTCGGCGCGTGATACATAAGCCTGTACGGACTTCTTGACGGCGCCGTATGCACAGTGGAGCATCACGGCGGCGTGATGGCAGCGGCGAGCTACGTAGTCAAATTGCATCACAACAGAACTCCAGTGGCAGACCCTCGCTTCTTCTTCTTATCTACTGTGCGCCTTTGCCATTGTCACTTTTTCAAATTAACCTCTTCGCAAATTGCGTACATTATTTTGGGGAAAAATTACTGTACATCTTCTTCATTGACACAATTTTGGGTGAAAATTATTGTACATCGGCACAGACCAAACCATCCGCGGTCACTGGTCACCACCTCCCTCACTTCCACCACCATCACTGCTCCCTCACAAATTCACCACCACAACCCCAACAAACCCACCGCCATCACAGAGAATCGAAATCAATATGTGAATTCTCTTCATCGCAGAAAACTTAGAAAATTAGGTTGAACCCTCTACAATCCAGTTGGGTTGGGTTCGCCGAAACAAGCAATTGGGTTTCAATATGAACATCAATTCGGCGACGAGACCATGCTCTCGATTTGGGTTCGCCAAAACAAGCAATTAGGTCTAATTTGAACCATCAATTTGGCGACGAGTGAAAGGGAGGTGTGTCGCCAGAGAGGAGTGGTGAGGGTTTGTTTGGATTTTAATCCCTCTGTTTCATATTCAACTATTTCTCCCGCAAATGCTTCTTCTGGATATCTTCAATTCTCCAGACAAGCACAAATATATATATATATATATATAGACACAAACAGCTGCTTACGCTGCCGTAATGGAGCAGCGAAATCTTACGATTGGGTTTGATGAAGAAGATAAACAGTGGAGATGGGTAGTGTTTGGGTGTAAGGTTAATTAGAGTTATTAATGTGAGGTTAAAAATAAGGGCATTATGGTCCTGTAATTTAGGTCATAAACAGTAATATTCAACCGGCCGGTGGCCGGAGGGGTGATCTGCAACAAATGTGTATAATTTAGGGGGGTTTTTTGTAATTTTGATAGTTTAGGGGATTTCTTGCAAATTTACTAATAGTTCAGGAGTTTTTTTTTTATTTACATTTTACCCTATTTATAATTACATAAACTTTTTAAGTACATGTCTAATAAAA